AAGATTCATATTTAGAGAGACAGGGTTATGTATTATGCTTGCAGCTTTTCTTTGAGTTCATTGTTGTGATCATTGTTGTGTCAGATGAAGAGATACAGCAACACAAGTCGTAGTACAACACTGAGGTCTTTAATAAACACACAACTAACATTGGTTCACATTGTCAAATAACGATTCAAACACCATCTGAAGTAACTACACATGAATACTGATGTAAACACGTACAGCAAAATGTATTAGGAACACCGTAAACGACTCAAATGGGGCAAATAGTTTAGGCTACTTGAACAATTCTAATTTAGGGCTATTTGAAAACTAAGATTTTGATGAACGTTTTCGATAGTAGCATGACGAAGGATCACAACTCTGTTGAGATATAGGGTTAAAGGCAATTGCTCTGGCCGATATACATTGGAAGTGTTCACGTTTTACACTCAATGCAAGTAACGCATGTGATACTGATTTAATAACCATACATTTCTGAATAATAGATGATAATCCTCTAAATAATAAACAGTAATATCTTTCAACAAAGGAATGAATGTAAATGACATTAGTGCAAATAGATTTCCCTTGACAACGATGACAATAATCATAAAAGACAACAAGAAAATTTTGATGCGAGGCATCACGTCGGCAACATGACAAACACATTAAATATACAATAAACAATTGTTACACAATTTGTATACACATTGTTGTGACTGCTATGTGATGCCAGAGTTTACATGCTAAATTTGACAAGCACGGTATCTCCACGGTACAACCAACGTAGCCAACACAAGATGCATGGCTGCTGTGGTAATTCTTTCAACGAAATGGCAACTAGACACCTCTGATGATTGCAGTAAACTTTCTTGGAAGGTACGTATTTTAGTGTTTGAACAAACTGAAACTGCAAATTGATATCAAATATTCCAAGTTACAAAACATTTTTGAAGCATGTGCTCTGTGTTCTGTTACCCCTTACATATAGTCCTTTCAGCACAGTAAAAATAGAAATAAAATACGCAAATTTAAAATACAAGAATTCACATATAGTCACTGATAAGGCTCCATCAGTTAGATAGTCAGTGGGCTCCATGTAGTCACAGAACAGGTCAGTCAGACAGTCAGGTGGGGCTCCATGTAGTCACAGATCAGGTCAGTCAGATAGTCAGGTGGGTGTCCATGTAATCATTGATCAGGTCAGTCAGATAGTGATATGGACTCCATGTAGTCACAGATCAGGTCAGTCAGATAGTGAGATGGACTCCATGTAGTCACTGATCAGGTCAGTCAGATAGTCAGATATGGACTCCATGTAGTCACTGATCAGGTTAGTCAGATAGTGATATGGACTCCATGTAGTCACTGATCAGGTCAGTCAGATAGTGCGATGGGGCTCCATGTAATCATTGATCAGGTCAGTCAGATAGTGAGATGGATTCCACGAAGTCACTGATCAGGTCAGTGAGACACTCAGGTGGGTCTCCATGTAATCATTGATCAGATCAGTCAGATGGGGCTCCATGTAGTCACAGGTCAGGTCAGTCAGATAGTCAGGAGGGGCTCCATGTAGTCACAGCTCAGGTCAGTCAGACAGTCAGGAGGGGCTCCATGTAGTCACAGCTCAGGTCAGTCAGATAGTCAGAAGGGGCTCCATGTAGTCACAGATCAGGTCAGTGAGAAACTCAGGTGGGGCTCCATGTAGTCACAGCTCAGGTCAGTCAGTCAGGTGGGGCTCCATGTAATCATTGATCAGATCAGTCACATAGTCAGGTGGGGCTCCATGTAGTCACAGATCAGGTCAGTGAGACACTCAGGTGGGGCTCCATGTAGTCACAGATCCGGTCAGTCAGTCAGGTCGGTCTCCATGTAGTCATTGATCAGGTCAGTCAGATAGTCATTAGGATCTCCATGTAGTCACAGCTCAGGTCAGTCAGATAGTCAGGAGGGTCTCCATGTAATCATTGATCAGGTCAGTCAGATAGTGAGATGGATTCCACGAAGTCACTGATCAGGTCAGTGAGACACCCAGGTGGGTCTCCATGTAATCATTGATCAGATCAGTCAGATGAGGCTCCATGTAGTCACATGTCAGGTCAGTCAGATAGTCAGGAGGGGCTCCATGTAGTCACAGCTCAGGTCAGTCAGATAGTCAGGAGGGGCTCCATGTAGTCACAGCTCAGGTCAGTCAGATAGTCAGGAGGGGTTCCATGTAGTCACAGATCAGGTCAGTGAGACACTCAGGAGGGGCTCCATGTAGCCACAGCTCAGGTCAGTCAGATAGTCAGGAGGGGCTCCATGTTGTCACAGCTCAGGTCAGTCAGATAGTCAGGAGGGGCTCCATGTAGTCACAGATCAGGTCAGTGAGACACTCAGGTGGGTCTCCATGTAGTCATTGATCAGATCAGTCAGATAGTCAGGCGGGTCTCCATGTAGTCACAGCTCAGGTCAGTCAGATAGTCAGGAGGGTCTCCATGTAATTAATGATCAGGTCAGTCAAACAATGACATGGACTCCACGTAGTCACAGATCAGGTCAGTCAGATAGTAATATGGACTCCATGTAGTCACTGATCAGGTCAGTCAGATAGTGAGACGGGGCTCCAGGTAATCACAGATCAGGTCAGTCAGATAGTAAGATGGGTGTCCATGTAGTTACAGATCAGGTCAGTCAGATAGTCAGGAGGGTCTCCATGTAGTCACAGCTCAGGTCAGTCACATAGTCAGGAGGGGCTCCATGTAGTCACAGATCAGGTCAGTGAGACACTCAGGTGGGGCTCCATGTAATCATTGATCAGATCAGTCAGATAGTCAGGAGGGGCTCCATGTAGTCACAGATCAGGTCAGTGAGACACTCAGGTGAGGCTCCATGTAGTCACAGATCCGGTCAGTCAGTCAGGTGGGTCTCCATGTAGTAATTGATCAGGACAGTCAGATAGTCAGATGGGTCTCCATGTAGTCACAGCTCAGGTCAGTCAGATAGTCAGGAGGGTCTCCATGTAATCATTGATCAGGTCAGTCAGATAGTGAGATGGATTCCACGAAGTCACTGATCAGGTCCGTGAGACACTCAGGTGGGTCTCCATGTAATCATTGATCAGATCAGTCAGATGGGGCTCCATGTAGTCACAGGTCAGGTCAGTCAGGTGGGAGGAGGGCTCCTCCATGTCAGGAGGGCTCCAGTCAGCTCAGGTCAGTCATAGTCCAGTCAGATAGTCACAGATAGTCAGGGTTCCATAGTAGTCATGATCAGGTCAGTCAGATAGTGAGATGGATTCGAAGTCCATCAGGTCAGTGAAGACACCAGGTGATCAGATCAGTCAGGTCATGTAGGTCCCATAGTCAGGAGGGGTCCATGTAGCCACAGACTCAGAGTCAGCCAGATAGTCAGGAGGGCTCCCATGTAGTCAGTCAGATAGTCAGATAGTCAGGAGGGGCTCCATGTAGTCACAGCTCAGGTCAGTCAGATAGTCAGGAGGGGCTCCATGTAGTCATCAGTCAGATCAGGAGTCCAGTCAGATAGTCAGGGGGTTCCATTGATCCAGATCACAGATCAGATGGGGCTCCATGTGTCTAGCTCAGTCACCAGATAGTCAGGAGGGTCTCCCATGTAGTCAAACAATGACATGGACTCACGTAGTCAGATAGTCAGAGTAATATGGCTCATGTAGTCACAGGTCAGTCATGAGACTGGGGCTCAGTCAGATAGTCCAGGAGTCAAGGGGCTCCATGTAGTCACGTCAAGGTCAGTCAGATAGTCAGGTCATGTAGGAATCAGGTCAGTGAACACTCAGGTGGAGTTCCATCAGTCACAGATCAGGTCAGTCAGATAGTCAGGATGAGGGTCTCCATGTAGTCACAGATCAGGTCAGTCAGTCAGTGTCAGACTCAGTCAGATCAGGTCAGTCAGGACTCCATGTAGGTCAGGTCAGTCCATGATCCCAGTCAGTCAGATCCACGAAGTCACAGATCAGTCCAGCCAGATAGTCAGGAGGGTCTCCTCACATGTCAGTCACATGAGGCTCCATGTGAGTCACAGTCAGAGTCAGTCAGATAGTCAGGTGGGGATGGAGGTCAGTCCATGAGGGTCATGCAGTCCATCAGTGAGACAGTCAGGTCAGGTCAGTCAGATAGTCAGGAGGGGGTCTCCATGTAGTCACAGATCAGGTCAGTCACAGATCAGGTCACTCAGGTGTCAGTCAGAGATCAGGTCTCCATGTAGTCTGCGCAGATCAGGTCAGTCAGATAGTCAGGAGGGTCTCCATGTGGTCACAGCTCAGGTCAGTCAGATAGCAAGTCATGGAGGGGTCTCCATGTAGTCAGGTCAGTCAGATCAGGTCAGTCAGATCAGGTCCAGTGAGACACTCAGGTGGACTCCATGTGTAGTCACTCAGAGTCAGGTCAGTCAGATCAGTCAGATAGTCAGGGGTCTCCATTGTGTAATCAATGACATGGACTGATCAGGTCAGTCAGATAGTCAGACTGGGTCTCCAGGGTAGTCTGATCAGATCAGGTCAGTCAGATAGTAGAGTTGGGTCTCCATGTAATCATTGATCAGGTCAGTCAGATAGTCAGGTGGGGCTCCATGTAGTCGCCGATCTGGTCAGTCAGATAGTGAGATTGATTCCACGAAGTCACTGATCAGGTCAGTGAGATAATCAGGTGGGGCTCCATGTAATCATTGATCAGATCAGTCAGATGGGGCTCCATGTAGTCACAGATCAGGTCAGTCAGATAGTCAGATGGGGCTCCATGTAGTCACAGATCAGGTCAGTCAGATGGACTCCATGTAGTCACAGATCAGGTCAGTCAGATAGTCAGATGGGGCTCCATGTAGTCACTGTTCAGGTCAGTCAGATAGTCAGGTGGGGCTTCACATAATCATTTATCAGATCAGTCAGATAGTCACATAGGTCTCCATGTAGTCACTGATCAGGTCAGTAGGCGAGTCAGGTGGGATCCATGTAATCACTGATCAGGTCAGTCAGATCGTCAGCTGGGGGCGGTTTCTAATCAGATACTGGTTTTGTCACTTTTCTGTGATTTAACCTCAGTATTAGCGGTAACAGCTGAAGTGGTCCTAATCTCTGCACTAGTACCTGTGAATTTCTTCAGGAGTAATCTCTTAACCCTGTCTGTACAGACGAAGCTTACAAAGATATAGAAACCCTGAAGACCGTTCAGGATGATGAACATGTACCAGAGAATACTGACGTCCGCAAATGCTGCACCAAAACTGGTACACCAGGACACACCCATAATGACGAATAACTTGCCATAGATGAATACCTTGGCTTTGTCCTTCTTTGAAGATGTGATGTTTTCGGACAATTTCAGACTCTTCTCTATATTACACAGAGTCATGATGAATGCAATAATGTTAACAAGAAGCATCAGTGCAAGAGGTACACCAAACACCAGGAGAGATGCTCGAGGATTAGCGATCCAGCAGATGCCTTGTGCCCCATATCCAATGTAAATATTGGGAATCTCCAAGAAATCCAGAAGAGCCGATGTAGTGACAATAATCAAAGGGATTCCACTGGCACAGAGGCTGAGGAAGCCATGAGTCCTTGCCGTATCCTGGTTCAAGGAGTTAAGGCCTTTGCTGGTGAATGTACGAGCCAGTGTTATCGACAAGACTGTCATCCACATAAAGGAGCAAAGCCAGGAGAAGTGCAGAGTGATGGCAAGTGCCTGACACAGTAATCCCGTGGGCAGATGAATGAGGAGCAGAAGAGTCTGAGCAACAAGAAGAGTGGCAGACAAAGACATGGTTAGACGACCGGGTAGATTCCTCAGCTCAGGCAGAAGTGAATACACGACCAGTGTGATCAGTAGACTTACCATGGAAACACCTGACGTCAGATAGGTCAGAATGCCCTGTATGTGATCGTATTTAAAGAAAATCTGTGAGTATCTCTGAGGCCCAAACTGAGTAAAGTTATGACAAGAAAGCACTTCGTCTCCGACTATGAAGAAAGAAGTATTTGTCAGAATCACGCCTGAATACAGGTTTTTAAGATTCCCTCCTTCCTGTGTAAAATCGGTTAAATTATAAACAACCGGATCACACTTTAGAGGAATTCCACAAACAAAAATCTCCTGTAAATCAGGAGGTGCACTTTTAAGCCAAGTACAAAGGCAACAGTTTCTAATGTGTAATATTTATACGAGTCTGCAGCATAGAATGTCCCATTTGAAAGTTTCTAAAGTGACGTTCGTCAAATGAATAAGTGTTCCAAATGAACATAATAGGTCACTTTCAGAATGAAAATTCTGAAAAATGATATCCACGATCATAGGATCAGACTTATTGGGCAGCTGTTGGGCAAGTTGTGATAACAAGTGTATGTCCTCTACCAGGGATTCAGCATTTCCAACATGAATCTTAACCATTTGTTTCAAATCTTGATTAGGCCCCTCTTTCACCCTGTGAAGAGATGTATCACCGGGTAGTGCTGAAACATTAAGTATTTCAATATCATCCGTGACCACATGTTCCTGTTCAAGGAAAGACTCCACCAATAATGTATCCATTATGGTGTTGATTTGCACAGGGAGTTCTGTGAGAACATACAAGGTAACAGTGTAATGTAATGTGCCATTCGGGAAGAGTTGGTTCTTCCTGGCAGCATACGCCAAACCACTGGCAACACAGGTGCCATTGACAGCCTCTTTGCCTTCCTGACAACGAATCTGTCGACAAATGTTCTGATAATCATCATACACCTCATTTGACTGACACTCAACATGAGGAGATATGATCTTCCCGGTTTCCTTGTTACTAAAATCTTTAAAATTAAACAATATGCTGAAATCACTAGATTGACTGCCTATTGGACGTTGATAGGTTGTAACTTGGCCAGAACACGATATATCATCATCGACATGTACACGAGCACAGTGTGGGTTCCTGTACTTTGTTGAACTTGTGTTTGAGGACACGATATACCTGTATAATCTGCATAATGATACGGTCTCAGAGTCGTTGTGTATTTGTGTTTGGTGGTTAATGTCCACCTCCATACAGGAACGCCCACCTATTCTTTCAATGTTGATATTACAATATTCCAATAGAAAGTCTTTTATATTTGTAATGTGATGTGATGCTGGTTCACAGGAAAAATATATAGTCCACTGAATTAACTTTTCTTCTGGAACACCATGACATCGTCCACAATAAATATTCTTGAAAACAATATTCACATCATGAATATATGACGCGGGAGTGAAAACTGAATGATTGGTGAAAGAAGTAGCAGACTCGCAAAGTGGATCTTCATTATTCTGTGGACATTTTGCAATTACCCATATCATTTGCTGTTCTGTAACACGAACACAACTTCTATATGTGATATACAATCCCTGGAGTTTGATAAGAGCCATCGATGTTTGGTTCTTGACATCTTTGTAACCCTCAGTATCGAGTCTTCCTTGAGTCAGTATATCAGGTTGGGTCGGTTTTAATGTTTGCAATAGCAAGGTATTGATTAAGGTATCATTGTCAGCAAAGTCGATAAACGTGAAATTGTTTCCCAGACATGTCGAAATGAAATCATAGCAACAGTCGCCAAATATCAAGCATCTAATATCACAGTGACAATCCTGATCAGTGGTTTCTAAGTTGCACAATTCTTTGCAAGAATATTTGTCACAAAATGGCATCTCAACGTTGTGAAACCAAAAGTGCGTTAATGGATCACATGTAAATTTCCGAAATGCATCTTTTGGAGAACACGTTGAACAATGACTGTTTCTCACATTGATACCTTTATCTGTGACAACTGGATAGACATAACTTCTGCACATCAAACTGTCAATACTTGGAAAAGCTGCATCATCCCTATCTGTTGGACACAAACTAAGGTGGGTATCATAATCCGGTTTACATGGTCGTGGTTGTATAATAGCTGGTACTTTACTCTCCACCCTGCACTTTAAGGTCCTAAATACATTTATAAATTCATCATATGTGATACCAGATGGGCTATAGTCACCAGAGCACTTTACTTTAGATAGCCACAAGATAACACTGTCTTTGTCTACACCATTGCATTGGGCACAAAAAATGTTACGAAAAACAATGTCAGGTTGTTGTCCCAAGGATGCTGGAACACTTCCTAGTGGATCAAGTGAAATATTGTGACATTTTGATACAATGTCATTCTCTGCATCGTCTAAGGTTTCCTCAGTGTTCAGCTTTGGACATTTTGAAATCATCCAGTAATGTCGGGTAACTTCGTCATCGTGTATTTTTTCACAACGTTTGTACAAGTACATCAAAACACTCTCCTCAATGGTGCTTGTTCTTCTTGTGATGTTTTGCATGATTTCGCCCATACCACTTGTATTCTGAACACCAAGCAATAACGAAGTTAGATTTTGCTGTAGGCAAAGAGAAAAGAAATCAAAGCAGCAGTCGCCAAAAATAATGCATGCTTCATCGCAATGGCACTTTGCATCAAACCTGGTTGAATTAGTATTGCCTGTACCGTTGTTTGCATCTGCCGCATTCCCATCACTGTCAGAGTGACCATTTGCCAATTCTGAAAATATCCATGATTAGTCAGATTTTCATTGTTTCTTCCAGTATCTGGGCTACATTGGGTACATTTGTTTCAGGGTCTGTATGACAGACGAACACAGAGCCTACTTACACAAAGCAATCTTAGCTATACCATGATCGGAACTGCCATACTCTTAGCATAGACTTACGACGTCTTAGCCCTGCGATCTCTTTGTGCAAGTTGGCACACGTCAATAAGGAAAGACCAGGGTGATAACTTTTGACTATCTATTGTTACAACGTACCTACCAAGATTGATTTAGAGTGCATCAATTAACACCTCTTTCTATTAATAACTTATATAATTTCAATAATTTTACTCTTCTATATTTTAACAAATATACAAGTGTTAAGCTAAGTTTAACAAAAAATATTACACAAAATCACCAGATAACGCAGTGGTTGAATATATAAAATTATTAAGGGTAGAAAAAACAATCTCTTAAACTGTAGCTTTTATCTCAATCGTCATCCTCGTCTGATTCAGCTTCTGAATGATAAATCAGATAATCAGATTAAGTGACTTGATATATTGCCATCTCCCACTTTCCTGGCGTTATCTCTGTTCTTTTGAACATCATGTCTACCTAGACCAAACTCTTCTTTCTAGTTATCTCGCAGTTTACCTTGATTAATCTGTGTACTAATGGATGATGTGGAGGAACGTCTGCTAGATCCAGATCCCTCTGGAAGACTCATCTTCAGCCAACACCTGTCCGTGCATGTCCCTCTCGTGCAAAGTAGTTTGGTGTTTACAGCTGGAGACACACATGAATTTAACATATTTGAATATCAATACCATAAAAGAGTTAAGAAGTAGGTGGTCTGCAATTTCTGGCACTCTTTCCCAAAATAACAATTGTATTCACGGTAAAACAGAAGGAGGCACCTTCATCAACAATTTCCAAGCGATTCCATTTACGGGGAAAATACAAAATAACCTTCCACAGATAATTTCTGAAAACGCATGCTTCGGATTGTTAAGATTGTCAGATCAAATGTCTTTGAAGATGTAGCTGACAAAATGGTCAGACCCATCTAGAATAGATAGGTCACACACATACTTTGTGAATACGACATGCTTAATTAAATTTCACAATCTACAGATTTAGGTCAATTCGAATTTTTATCAATTTTCATAACATACATCTTCCATGATTACACTCACCTAGTGGGTCAGAGTAGCTGTCCTTGCCATCATTCTGGATATCTGATTCATCTGCTGAAGAATCTACAGGAGGCTGCTGAGTGGATGGGATAATTGTCAGCGCAACCACAAAGAGGACACGACAAAGGCAAAACCAATCTGAGAAGAGCGGAAATATATTCTTTGATTGTGAGTAAAGATAACTTCCAGTTTGATACATGTTGTTTCTTGTTACGAACCTGTATTAGAATCAAGGAAGTATGCTGACAAGGAAACGTTGCAATCTGAAAAATTCCACTTACCCAATGTAATTGAAGGGGATTCTTCTGCAGAGAATACTAACTGCTTGATACTTTTATAATGAGCATAAATAAAACACAATCTCAACACTTCGACGAGGATTGTGCATGATGTTATGAGTTGATCCCCAAGTTGAATCTTAAAGCTAACTGGAAAATAGTCTGTAAAATTTAAATATTTTAGTGTGAAGCAAAAACAGAAAGTATGTGATATGATCAACAACTGCATTCAGAAATTAACTGAGTTCACAAATCATCATAAATCATCAGATAGGAACGACAATGCTGGTGAGAAATAGGGCAGCAACAGAAATTCCATGGCAGCAATACACAGTGTTCATTTACCAGTGAGATTTACCTCGCTGCAGCAGTTGTCACGCTTCCAAAATAGTCGTAGGCTGAGTATCAAGGGTGAAAAGTGATCATAACGGTTCTTCATGTAACGTGATGTGTAATTTGAGATGAGAGGCAGGAGTTAGCTAACCTCATATATATAATCTGCATTATATACCAGTCTTGCCTCCCAGGAAAAAAATCTCCTCCCGGCTTCGGAGAAAAAAATAATGTTCTTCGTTAAGTAAAGTACAAGCTCTCCTAACTGCAGTTGACAAGAAACAACATTGCACATATCACAATTGCTGTTCTTCTTGTAGCGTGATGTGTAATGCGAGATGAGAGGCAGGAGTTGTACATAATCTACTTTATATGCCACACTTGCCTCCCTGTAACAAAACAACTCGACTTCGAGGGAATAATTTCA